TTGAAAATGAAATTATTTGAATCGTGTACATGGCGTACAAACTTCGGTCTTTTCAACATTCCTGCCCTTCACCTACAGGCGCTGGGGTGTTTAAATTGCGTACTGCGATTTTCTTTAAAACTGCGGTAGAATGTTTGATCGATCAGGATGGGATTCTTCGTGGACTGATACGCTTGCAGTGGTTCTGCATAGAAGCCTGGGGAGCGATGGAAGGGAGGGGGAGGGGGAAGAGCGGTGAAAGAGGGGATGGAAGTGTAAAATCGCAAAGACATACGCATCACATCACTAAGGATGTGAGCCACCAATTTTGATAAAATTCCTTTCTCATTTTCTTGCTTCTTCCGACTCGTACGACATTTTTCTGCATGATAAAACGAAATTTTTAGTCATATCTTCTGGCTCTTCACGCCCGCTTGTCGTCACTTTTGTCAACAGCAGAATACTTGGATGGCTCGGAATTGCCATGCTTTGGTTTCAATGAACAGTTGCGTCGTTTCGCCGCCTCACGCTCTACATCGCCAATTACGGTGCAAAGTACGGAAACTGTGAAGCAGCAGGATACGGAAACAAGTCGAGACAGTAATAAAACGCTAGAACAAGAGATTAACGCAGTACAGGATTTGGTGGTAAGTCTTTATCCTTTTTGCAAACGATTCTTTAGTTGATGGATAAAAATTGATTTTTGAGCAGTAGTAGACAGGAGCAGTGCAGTATGGGCCAAGTTGAACCTGGATGAGTATATTAATATGACAAAAATTTACAATGCAAGAAATTTTGCAGAAATATATTATAATCTGGGCAACGGGTGAGGCGAGAACCGGGGGGGAGGGGCGGCAGGGGAGTTACTGAAAAGGAGCGTTTCGATCTGCTAAATCACATATTCCTTCGTGTTGAGGAGCGCCACTGACTTTCGTCAAAATCATGGCCGTCTCGTGTTGTAGATACCTCATTTCTCCAAACAATTTTTCCATTTCCTTTCATTCATATGCACTGTTTAGGATGTTTCCGATGAGCATCAACAGTACAGGCAAGCAGTACGTGAAAATCAAATCAAACAGGCAAGTTCAAATTCGACATTGAATTTGTATGAAATTTTGTTGTTTTACTCTTTACGTAACAGTGAATCGGTGGCGACCCTGTGCTTTTCAGGGCTTTTAAGAGCACTAGATTTTCTAGAGTACGTTTATTACAGGAATTACTGGAACGTGAGGCCAAGAGTAGCCGTGTGATCATCGAAGTACGTCCGCAATATTTGGTGCCCGATACGAATACATTTATCGATCATTTGGAATCATTAAAACAAATTGTCGAAAGCCGCCGATTCACCGTACTAGTGCCAACCACAGGTACATTTAATCTTATTATTTTCCAAACTACGCAAAGAAAAAGAAATGAACTACGTGAGAAAAAAAACTACGTTTCTTACACTTTCTTTCTAAAGCATGAGAAGTGAACTACGTGGATGTGCAAAAAAAAAATTATAGTGGATTTAAAGCAGTTCCCATATTTTATGCTATCTGAGATAACGAGGGGGAGGGGGAGGGGAATAAACTGGTTTCTAGTAGATGCTAACAGCCATCAACTGTTAAGGGTACTGATATAGCTTTTTACAGAAGCTTTTACTTAAAAAACAGACTAATGGTAGTTCGTCGTAGCATTCACCAGTAGCAATTTGATATCAAAATGTAACTGGGGCAATCGCAGTGGGATTGGTTCGTTTTTGCATGGCTGGAATTAAACTGATAGGGATATTAGGATGCCTATAGCGCGGAATGTTAGCATGAAAAGCATAGGAATTACAATTCATATGTTTAAATAGATATTTGAAGAAGCAGACTGTATTTCATCTCTTAGCAGTAAACACAAACAGAGTTCTGCTTTGCACATAGGAGCGGGAATCAACAATACAGCCAGCTTCGCGCTGTGTGTGTTGAACTTACATATGATTAGTTTGCAAGACAGTAGAACGAATAGAATAAGAGAGAGGGCGATTTAAATGAATGAAATAAAGAAAAGAAGGAAAAAGGGCAAAGCAACCGAATTGCCTTTATGCCAAGATCGCATGCGGAAGAGTAGGAAAAATCGATTTACGGAATTGTTATCCAGATTATTTGCTCTCCGATGTAGCCCAGTCTATTCATTCTGGCCATAATGTACTGATTTTTCACATTAGATAAGGGCACCTTAACATGATTATGCAAATAGCAATAGCGTATCAATAAAGCTTCTGGATTATCGAATAATTCTCGTCGAGTCGACGATATCCGAATCATTATTCGCTAGCCTCATCGTGATGATGCCCGTAATTAAGCATCACTTGAATTTTAACTAAACGATTTTTTTTTTTGCAGTTCTGGAAGAATTGGTTGGCTTATCACGGCCATCGACTTCAACAACACTTGTTCCTGGACTGCAAGGAGATTTCCAAGATAACTGGGTTGGTGAGCGAGCAAAAGAAGCCGTAAGCTATTTGCGTGGTGTTGCAGAAAGGAAAGTACCACAAATTTCGACTGTCACTAGTAAAGGCAATCGTTTGCCATCATTGAATTTTGCTGACGAAAATTGCTATTCAACCGAAGAAAAAGTATGTTTTTATGCGTTTTTTGCAGCAATGCAATGCGAAAAACGCATATTGACGAGAGGTTGTCTGT